TATATTTTTATATATCCTTGTATAATCTTCTATAACTTTCTGTAACTAGACAAAATCAGGAAAAATCTGATATAATTAATTAAAATTTAGGAAAAATCTTTGTAGATCTTATAACTAGTTTTCTGTCTCTCTTTACTGCCTTTCTACTAAGAGCACCCTGAATTAGTCTTTATAAAAACCCTCATGGCGCACCCCCCTAAGCCACTATGTAGGACCTTAAGAAGAAGAAGACTATTTATCTCCAGGGACCAAAATCTAGGGACCAAAATCTAGGACATTTCACGAAGATGGCCAATCAGCACCACTATAGGGAAAGTAGATTTAATAACCTCCTTAAAAATTCTGTTAACCGAGTCCAGCCTGGGTGTCCGGCTACGACCTCAGGACCATCCGGTGGTCTTGTCGCACCGTGGTCTCAGACCCGCCGCGATAGTGCTAAATTATCCTTGGCTTTTAGTCCTACATCACGGTCTGGGCGAGCTTGGCATGCTTCTTAGTCTCGGAGGTGACCGAAATTGTTCAGGTACGGTGGTATAGTTCTGTAGTATTTTTTGGAACTCAAGAGCCAGGCCTGAAGAAGTTGGTTTATACGGTATCTACTGGCTGGAGGAGTTCGCTGGGGCCACCGATTTAGCTTGACCTGTTGATATATGAGCGTAATTAGTCGTTTATATTGGGTCTCTTACACCCCTTTTTTCTTTTTTTTTTTTCTCGTCCGTCTCTCCTTCATTTTCTCTTCGTACTTCCAATGGATATCAAGGAGGTACTCCTGCAAAAATGCTGTTCTCGTTAAGCCGGTTTCTGGCTGTTGCCCTTGCCTGTGCGGGCTCAGTTAGCAGCAACCATGGTCGTCACCACCGACACCACAGGGGAACAACTGTCGCTCTACAGACTCCGTGGGAGCCTCTAAAACTACTGTCCCGACAAAGCGGCCAAACTGGAGGCGCCATGTCTACCTCTTCTTCGAACGGTGACTACACTTGTGGTCCCGGTAGACCGTGTGGGAACGGAGCATGTTGGTACGCCATGGCACCTAACCACTGACCGACAGGAACCTAACTCTCTCGCAGCGGCACAGATGGCTGGTGTGGCTTCGGGCCAACATATTGCGGCGAGGGCTGTCAGTCCAACTGTGATGCCAAAGCGGAATGCGGCGAATATGCCGCTGAGCCTGGCGCAGGCTGTCCTCTGAACGTTTGTTGCTCGTAAGTGATCCCTTCCCGGAGCACTTAGGCGAGAGGAATGAGAGGATTCACGGATCTAATTCAGTGCGTTCGGCTTTTGCGGTACGACATCGGAGTTTTGCGGTGATGGGTGTCAATCACACTGTAAACAGCCTAAACCTGATGTCGAGGACAGCAATCCCCGGAAGGTTGTCATTGGGTACTATGAAGGGTGGAATATGGGCAAGCCATGCGGCACCATGAGCCCGGAAGACATTCCTATCAGGATGCTGACTCACGTTTTTTTCTCATTTGGCTTCATTTCCCCGGGAACGTTCCAGATCGAGAACATGGCGGATTTCCAACCGAGTCTGTTTGGACGGGTGACGGATCTGAAGATGAAAAATCCGGACCTGAAGGTTCTCATTGCACTGGGAGTAGGGTCCTCCCGTTTGTACTTCTTACTTCTGCGCTTGATGCTGATCTATCTTAGGGCTGGACTCATAATGACCCAGGCCCTTACCAAAAAGTCTTCTCAGACATGGCCTCCACCGCGGCAAACCGCAAGATCTTCATCCGGAACATCCTTGGATTCATGATGGAGTACGGCTTCGACGGTGTCGATATTGACTGGGAGTACCCAGGAGCCGAGGACAGAGGCGGGATCCCCCAAGACGGCGAGAATTTCACTCTACTTCTCCAAGAGCTCAAGGCCACATTTGACGGACGATACATTCTCACGTTCACGGCCCCAACGTCCTACTGGTACCTACGCCATTTCGACATCAAGAAGAGTGTGAGAGCGGCCGACTGGATCAACCTCATGTCGTACGATCTCCATGGGGTCTGGGACCGAAAAAACCCAATTGGTAGTCAGGTGCTGAGCCATTCCAATATTACAGAAATTGACCTCGCCTTGGACCTGCTCTGGAGGAATGATATCCCCCCGAGCAAGATCGTCCTCGGCACTGGGTTTTATGGACGGACTTTCGCGCTGGAAGATCCGTCATGCACGGAGCCGGGCTGCCAATTCAGTGGGCCTGGCGCCAAAGGCCCTTGTACGGGGACCGCTGGGTTCCTCTCATATAAAGGCAAGTACTCGTTCTTTGAGCCGCATCACCGAGTCTCTGGCCAATATTAACGGTGGTGCGAAATGCAGAAGTTAGAGACATACTGCGGTCAAACAAGGCCAAAGCGAAATTCGACAAGAAGGCAGGGGTCAAGTATTTAACATATGGACAACACAGCTGGAATAACATGAAGTCAGGATCGTCATCGTCGTCCTCAGCATTGTCGAAACGGGACGAGGGCAAGGTAGCCGAGATGGATATGTCTTCTGTTACCAGCTGGATTTCGTAAGTATCCGCAAGCTTGTCAGACCCCGGGACATGCTTTGCTGACGGTAGAGCGCTAGATATGATGATGCCTCAACAATCGAGACGAAAGTCGACTTTGCCAGCCAGAGAGGACTGATGGGCGTTATGACCTGGGCGGTTGACCTCGACGACGAGCAGGGCCAGCTCATTCTGGGGCTTTCTGGCGGCGAGATGGAGTCGACTGACGATATTGCCCTCGACGTGACAGAATTCCCTGGGTCCGTCTCCCACACAATGCAGGACCCCACGCGGTGCTATATCTCAGGGTGTGAGGAGTTCTGCAAAAGTGGCTACACCGCGGTAGGCCGCTCCAACACTGACCTCAACGGCCGCAACCGGTGCGACACAGGCAAATCCCAGAAGGCCCGTTACATCTGCTGTCCCTCGTTCTCCGGCCCGCAGCCTGACGATTGTCGGTGGGATGACAGTCGGTCCTCTGCCTACAAGGGAGACTGTTCCGGCAAGTGTGATGTTGGGGAGATTCTCATCGTTAACGACAGCTTTGGCTGGAAAGGTAGCACCAATGGTGGCGAATACGGAGATCGATGCTCGCGTGGCGCCAAGAGCTTCTGCTGCAAAGCCGGCAATATGGAACAATATCTCAACATCTGTACCTGGACCAAGTGTGGCGGCGACTGTCCGTCGGACCGGCCCTATGAGCTCACCACCGATAGCGGCGGCCCCAAGGAGAATAGCCGCTGCACCGATGCCACGAGTGCGCTCGTGGACCCTCGGAATGCCGAAAAGCGCCGGTTGTGCTGTCCTAGCAAGGACTCGTTCCGGAACTGTGGGTGGAAGTCGGCCAATGTCTGCTCCAGCACCTGCGGTCTCAACCAGATCACCCTGGATCTGGACCCTCTCGGTGAAACTTCCTCCAACAACCCGTGCCACAATGGCCGACAAAAGGCCTTTTGCTGTGATCCACCGGGTGGCCTCAACTCTCCGTTCCTGCCGGTGGACCTGGAGAATCTCTTCCCTCCCGAGCACCGGCCTTCCCCAGATGCGCTGCCCACATTCGAGCTGGTGAGCTTTGGCGGAAGGTACACGGGCCCAACCAAGGACGAAAACCCCAACAACAGTGGCGTTGCCTTCTTCCTCGTCGCCGGCAGCTACACTGCTGTCACTTCCATGAGCAAGCGTGACAACCCGGGGCTCGAGTTCGTCGACTGCCCGGCCGATGTCCTCTCCCGGCCCAACGAGGAGCACCAGACAGCCCGGGTGGTCTGCTACTCAGACAACGTGCCTGACTGCTTCCGGGTGCAGGAGGGCGGTGTCGAGGGCACAGTTGTTCAGATGCCTGAAGAGTGCGGGGGCCCATCGTGGGCGCGCGCCGTCTCCCTCACCCTCTCGAAAAACCAAACAGTCCCCGGCCACCTGGCCAAGCGGGGGGCGACCACCTCCCCCGTGTTTGACTTCACCTTCGACTACAACACGGCCCTGGTCCGCCGGGATGCCGGGGAGTTCAGTGTACGAATGGATTTCTCAAATGTGCCCGGGTATTGGAACGCCGTGGTGGACGCCCCGGGTTCTTCAAGCAGTAAACGTGACATCAACCAGCTCGTAGATCGATTCTACGGTTCCTCGGATGAGTGGTATACCAAGTTCAAGTCGTTGAAGTTCCCTGCGGCCCAGGGCACCAAGTACACGGAGAAGCTTGACCAGTTGGTGTATCATAACCCCCAGATCTGCGAGTACGAGGGTACAAAGGTCGGGGAATCCTTGAGCGTTGCTATGGAAGGCACTACTACCGTTGAGTCCCATTTTGGGTTTTCATTGATTGCCACCTGGCAGCCTGGAAAGTCGTTTGACGTCCATCAGGCGGCCGGCTTCTTCCACCCGGACGGGGAGACGGATGTGACCTTCAAGATTGGCGGTCAGGGCATCCTGGACACCTCCCAGAGCTTGCAGGGATCGACCATCACGAAGATTCTTGGCGAAGCCAGCCTGGCCGGGAAGAGCGTCTACAAAGGATGGGCCTCCTTTGACTTGTACCGGGAAAGCAGCGTCTCCCTCCGGAGCGGTGGTGGCAATTCAGGAGCAGTGGCAGTGGATACATACGCAGAATCCCGCATCCAGTCTGACTGGGGTCGTGTACTGGTCAATTTTCCGGCTGGTGCGGTCGACAGCCCGTTAGAGGGTACTTCTGAGGGACGGCGTGCGGACGACAAGGTCAGCACCGCGGAGAAGGATAATATCTCACGGCCGCTCGCAGAGAGCCCCAAGGGATTCATTGAGGTTGGGACAACCACCCGCGTTGGGATCAAGATGCATTTGAAGTTTGCGTCCCCGTGGCTGTCCGATGTTGACGGGAAACTGCCCGATATGTCCGTGTCCCAGTCGGTGTATTCCCGCTGGCACTTCGAGCATGACGGGGCGAAATCCTGTCTGACCACTAGTCTGGGCACTACAATGAAGAGTCATCTGGAGCGCGGTTCTTACGTCGGATGGAAGGACAAGGAGACGAAAACCTTCGTGCAGGAGCTGGCGCAGGCCGGAGAACGTCAATGCTTCACAGGGGACGCGGCGACTAAGCGAGATCGCATCGAGCGGCGCCAGCTTGTGAACCCGAACTTCGATCCAGATCTATTAGTCCCCGGAATTAACCTAGGTGATGGAGGATGGAACAACATGGCAGCCCGGATCATGTGCAATGGGTGCGGATTTTGCACCACCGAGGGGGTTGTCGAGGAGCCCTGTTGTGGATGCGCCTGTATCCCGTGTAGGTATGGCACCCAGGCCAGTGTCCGGGATGATGACTATTATGTCTTCCCGATTTCCGACCAGACCTCGTTAGCCCGGAGAGATCTGCCGGTCGATGCGAGCTGCGGACTCCAGGACGCGCATTGCCTAGGATCGGACAACAAAACCTGGCTGGTAGAACGACAGGCCACCACTCCCCGGATCAGCCAAACACCAAAGAAACTGAATATCTGTAGGACTCAGATCACCGGGCCCAAGTACCCCTCATATCCCAAGCAGGGCCCGAATGCCGTTCTGGGGCCCCAGGATTTTAATTCTCACAGGTCGACCCAAAAC